CCCACGTGACCGCCGGCCTCCGCGGCGCCCCGCCCCCCCTCGAATGGGTCGGACACGGGCCTTGTCACATCCGAGAACTTTATTAGACACAGCGGGGCGGGCCGGGCACACCGCCCTCCGGGCCACAGCCCCGGGCCGAGGGTGGTTCCGTCCAAGTTAGTCTCAGCGAACCGGAACCCGCGACGCAACACTCTACGATTACTATATAGTCGGGAGACGAGGGCTGCTCCACGGACACATGAACAGGTCAAATCTTTTATAAATAACACCCAGTGAAGAGGAAATGAGCCTAACTCATCCTTATACACAGAGCACTCCGGGGCGGGTGGGGCGGCGAGGCCTGCGTCCTCACTGGTCAGGGGCCAGGGTGGGTGAGTGGGCCCAGATGTCCACGGCACGGGGCGGGCGGGGGGCAAGGCCGGGCGACGACGATGGGCACTAGGACACTGCGTTTACAAGACCGACTACTGAGGGGCAGGCCCGTGCGTGTGTGTCAGGCTGCTCGTTCTGGAATGAGGAGGGGTGGTCTTTACATCAGATTCTGTGGCTGGGGGGCTCGAACAGGGGCTACTTTGTGGAGAGAATGAGGGCGACGATGAGACCGTAGAGGCCCAGCACCTCCGCGAAGATGAGGATCAGAATCATGCCCACGAAGAGCCGGGGCTGCTGGGCGGTGCCCCGCACTCCAGCGTCCCCCACGATGCCGATGGCGAAGCCAGCCGCCAGGCCACTCAGACCCACACTCAGGCCGGCGCCCAGCTGGAGGAAACTCCTGCAAGAGAGGAGACGTGGGCTATCACTGCACTGCCAGCCCCGGGGTCACCTCCCACCAGCCCCGGGCAGGGGGACAGGGGGACAGCGGGACGTGAGGGCCCGCATCAGGCGCTCACCTGTAGAGGCTGATGCCATCGTTCAGGGAGTTGGCGATGAGCACAGCCACCACCAGGCCGTAGATGGCGATGATGCCGGCCATGACCACTGGGATGATGGACTTCATGATCAGCTCCGGCCGCATGACAGACATGGCCGCGATGCCCGTGCCGCTCTTGGCTGTGCCGTATGCAGCGCCCAGGGCTGTGGGGGAGGCAGGGTCAGCCCATGGAGAGCTTTGGCACAACTGTGAGGGCCACCCTGTGCATGCACAGGGGAGCCAGGCCCTGAAGAGTCAGCCACTGCTGGCGCCCAAGTGGCACCATCTATCTTGCCC